GGCCCATATCGGGATTCTGCTGTGCCTGTTAACTGTTTTGGACTATGAGAAGATCTCTAATCATTCTGAGAAGTCTACTGGATTCAGGTCTGTTCTGCCACCCGCAGTGGGCATCCCCTGCAAAGGTTCGGATGTGTTGCTCAAACAATTACCGGTTGCCTTGTCACAGACAATCTGCTCGACAAAATATGTTTGTCTTTTTTGTTTTCCTGCGATGATGGTTCTTCAGGACTGCTTCTTAAGCTCAAATCACACTCTCGCAGACTTTTCCGGTGTTTCTAAATTAGATGACAATGTGTGTGTGTCGCTTAAGAGGAAAAGATGCCTGGTTTTTTTGTTGTTATTACTGTCAGGAAATGTACAACCTAACCCTGGTCCGCCCAGTAGTAGTAGTCAGATCGCTACTCCTGCTGATTTTAAAGCTAGGTCTGGGTTGGGTTTCATCCACTTGAATGTGCGCAGTCTGTTAGGTAAACTAGATTTTGTCCGTATCTGGGCGAGCTCAACTGACGCTGACGTCATTGTTTTATCAGAAACATGGCTAAACAAATCTATTTTGGCCTCTGACATTGCCTTAAATGGTTTTAATGTGTATCGTACCGACCAGCCTAATAAAGGTGGTGGCGTTGCCATTTATGTTAAGAATAAGTTCAGTGTAACCACATTAGTTTCCAAATCGATCAGTAAGCAATTTGAATTTTTAGCCATAAATATAGAAGTGGCAAACGGTCAACAGGTCAGCTGTCAAAGACTCCTTGTCTTCACTAGCAAATCTTTTATCACAACTAGACTACAAGGAAATAGTGCTACTTGGAGATTTTAACTGGGACTGGTTAACTGCAGTGTCAGAGGATTTTAAAAACCTTTGTATCTCTTTGAATGTTACTCAGATTGTGGACAGTCCTACTCGCCCTAACATTAAGTCCCCTAATAAATCCTCCCTAATTGATCTCATTTTAACTAATGTTCCCTATAAATACTCAGCTGTGGGAGTATTTGCAAATGATCTGAGCGATCACTGTGTTGTAGCCACAATTAGGGACACTAAGGTCCAAAAGGTTAAACCTCGCATTATCATTAAGAGAGACAAAAAACATTTTGTTGAGCAGGGTTTTGTGCATGATCTGTTAGATTTTGATTGGGGTAAAATCGATCTGTGTGCTGATGTAGAAACCGCATGGTCTTATTTTTATCTTGGTTTTATGGAGATCATTGATAGACATGCACCCCTGCGTAAATTTAGAGTAAAGGGACGAGACAATCCTTGGTTTTCTGCTGAACTGTCCAGTCTCCTTCATGAGAGAAACAAGGCCTGGGCAAAGGCTAGGAAATCAGGCTCAGAGGTAGAATGGCTGCGTTTTAGGCAGCTAAGGAATAGCTTCACATCGCAAATCAAAAGTGCTAAATCAAAGTACTATCTGTCAGTAACCACAAAGAACCTGAATAATCCTGGAACATTTTGGAAAGCCATTAAATCGTTATCCACCGGCGATATCCGTAATGAGCTACCTCCGTGCATTACCACAGCATCTGGCACTATATCGGACAGGGCTACTATGCTAAATTGCTTTAATGAGCATTTTGTGTCCTGTGGTTCTCTATTTGATTCTGTGACTAACTCTGCTTCTGTGAACACCTCAATCCGTGACTCTGAAAAACGTGTGTTGGAAAACCCTTTTAGTTTTACTCCTTTTACTGTTGATGTTGTTCGTGAAGCTTTAACCAAGTTAGATCCTAAGAAACCGGCTGGCCCGGACAACGTAGAACCTTTCTTTTTAAAGATAGCTGCAGATTTTATTGCTCCACCTGTCACTACTCTTTTTAACCTCTCCCTCAGCACTAACACAATTCCAAAATTGTGGAAGTCAGCGTATGTCCTGCCTCTACTAAAAGGTGGGGAGGCCACTTTATTAAATAATTATAGGCCAATCTCTAAGTTGTCAGTTCTGGCTAAGGTTCTTGAACGCCTAGTGAGTGAACAGGTAAAGGAGTTTTTATGTACAAATGACATCCTGTCTAAACATCAGTCAGGCTTCAGAAATCAACATAGCACCATCCCTGCCACAATGAAAGTGGTGAATGATGTGGCGAGTATTTTAGATAATAAGCAGAGTTGTGCAGCTCTATTTATTGACCTTTCAAAAGCGTTTGACACCGTCGATCATCACATTTTAAGGCAGAGGCTAGCCAGTATAGGCATGTCCAGCCATACAGTGGGTGGTTTGTGAACTACCTCTCTGAAAGGTCCCAATGTGTTCACTTTGATGGGCTGTCTTCTGAGTGGTTAAACATTGCTAATGGTGTTCCCCAAGGTTCTGTTTTAGGTCCACTTTTATTCTCCATATATATCAATAGTTTAGGGGAAAATGTGGATGAAGCTACTTTACATTTTTATGCGGATGATACCGTGATGTACTGCGCAGGTCCCTCCATTAAGGAGGCTGGTGTTCAATTACAGGATGTTTTTAACATTATTCAGACTCAGCTCTCTGAACTAAAGCTTCTTTTAAATGTTGAGAAAACCAAGGTAATGCTCTTATCTAAAGCTAAAAAGACACCAGAGCCTGTTTTAGATATTGTAACTACGCAAGGAATAAAACTTGAAGTGGTTACCTGTTACAAATACCTTGGTATCTGGCTTGATGATTGTCTCACTTTTAAACTTCATGTCAATAACCTGCTTAAAAAGCTGAGGGTTAGGCTAGGTTTCTTCTACAGGAACAAGTCCTGTTTCTCGCTTGAGGCCAGGAAAAGGCTCTGTGACCTTTTTACCTGTGCTGGACTATGGTGATCTGGTCTATATGAATGCACATGCCAATTGCCTGGTCAAGTTAGATGCTGCGTATCACAGTGCACTGAGATTTGTGACAAACTGTAAAGCATTAACCCATCACTGTACCCTGTATGCAAGGGCTGGTTTGCTTTCACTAACTGTACGGAGGCTCAGTCACTGGTACATTTTTATATACAAAGCCATGTTAGGGAAACTTCCATCTTACATCTGCTCCCTGATCTCACGGAGAATTGTAAGTGGCTACTGCCTGAGATCGAATGCTGTGGTTTTATTAAATGTGCCAGCTGCTAGGACTGTCTTAGGGAAGACAGCTTTTAGATGCGCAGCTCCTCTGTCTTGGAATAGTCTTCAAATTAAATGGAAACTGGTGCCACTAAATGTTTTTAAAGCTCGGTTGGATGCTACTCAATCGGAAGCTGTTGGTACCTGTTTATGTGGATAATTATGTAAATGATGCTGTATGATGTCCTTTTGTTGTTCTATTTATGTTTTTATGTTTCATGTGGAACTACTTGAGCAGGTCTCCCTTGAAAAAGAGATCAATGATCTCAATGGGATTTATCTGTCTAAATAAAGGTTTGAAATGAAATGAAATGTACTGGAAAGCACATGTGTTTAAAAAGCAGGAAATAAAAAAATAACTCACCTTGTGATAAACCGCAAGAGAAAAAGCATTTGAGCTCCATACTGTTTCAGAAATAATCCTTGATGTGGTTTAGAACAGGATGGCGTTTTATCACAACCGAATTTACCTTTATCTCCGGTAGAATTCTGATCAGGCATTAGCTCCGCCTCCCCTTTTGTATTTTTTTCAAGCTAAGGACCCAAAATCCGCTTTTCTCTAACAGGACTTCAAACGAGGGGTTTGAGCAGTATGAGGCATGGCTACAATGGGGGATCTGTTTGGGATTTGAAGCAAAAAACTTCAGACATGTTTTGTATAGGTATGGCCCTACAATATATGTTTCCAATATAGCATAATAGGTCCACTTTAAATTAACCCTTCTCTTGCGTTAGGTCGTACCCCCCTTCCCATACTATTTTCGGTCAAAATTGGCCGGTGTGTTTTGCACAGTGATATTTCTGGAATACATTTCTTCTCACAAAACGTACTTTTTGGTGACGCCTGTCCAACAGTTTTCCTACACAAAATCTCCGGTTTATAAAGGTATTTTCGGGCCAGAGAGGAACTTTATTAGAGATGTATAAAGTTGAAATGGGGACACAGAGATGAGGACATTGCCTTATTTACAATTGTATAAATAACTAAAGTACACACAGGCTCTTAAACTATCTATCTATCTTACATTATATCAAATATATGTTTATATTTCACCTTTGTTTGTGTTTTTCTTAAATAGCCATGTCAGGTTTATACCACACGCTCACACACTCTTAGTATTTATGTGTATAAAAAGATTAAAACAAGGTAAAAAATAGCATCAGAGCTCAGTAAATGTTTATGTGGCCTAATATAACCAACATGTTCACAGTTTGGAACACAGAATCACACACTGCTGCCATTATGTGTGTGTGTGTGTGTGTGTGTGTGTGTGTGTGTGTGTGTGTGTGTGTGTGTGTGTGTGTGTGTGTGTGTGTGTGTGTGTGTGTGTGTGTGTGTGTGTGTGTGTGTGTGTGTGTGTGTGTGTGTGTACATGTGTGTGTGTTTCTGTCTAGACATAATTTGTCATCCAACCTGGAAAATATTTTCTAAATTGAGCCTCATTTGGAGCAAAAGAGCTCCCAGAAGAGAAACTGGCAGTTTGTTTTAAATGACACTTAATGAGTGTGTGTGTGTGTGTGTGTGTGTGTGTGTGTGTGTGTGTGTGTGTGTGTGTGTGTGTGTGTGTGTGTGTGTCTGTGCGTGCGTGCATGCGTGCGTGCATGGTTGTGTGTGTGTGTGTGTGTATGTGTGTGTGTGTGTGTGTGTGTGTGTGCGTGCTTGTGTGTTTGTGCGTCAAGGTCAAACAGCTGCTGCTCTCTGAGTAACAGCAGAGAAAACAAAGAAACATCAGGCTAATGTTTAAATAACGACCATTAAGTCCAAATGTTTCACATACTGTAGTTTTTTGGAGGTACGTGTTATGTACTTGAATATTTTCTTTTAAAGAGGCCCTATTCTGCTCATTTCCAGGGTCATATTAGTATTTAGTGTCTCTACTGTGACATGTTTCCATGCTTTAATGTGTCTCTGTTGTCTCTGCAGCTTCTCCACATCCGAGCCTGGCTGGGAAACCGTGTCTGAAGCTCAAAATCTACGTCAAACCCACCAGTGAGTCTCGTTACATGAAAAAAAAATCTATAAAACCTGTGATTTATTAATGTATATACTATGACTTTTTGTACGACATATAAATGAAATATTAAATGTTCGGTTACATTTCTATGAAATAGTTTACTATGACAATTGTTTTATAGTATAGTATGTCAGACAGAAATGAAGGTAAAGTGTGTCATAAAAAGTTATATTATCGTATGTCAGATTATTTTTTACAAAAGTCAGAGAATAGCATGTCATATTTTATCAGTCATTGATAGGTGTGTCATAAAAGGTAATTGTCTATTATATCAGAAAGTTTCATGGTATGGCATAAAAAGTGAAACTATTATAAGTCATAAGACATTAATACAAAGTCATAGTAAACACTTAATAAAGAAAACATTATGAAAAGCCATAGTGTATATTATTCCATAAATAAAGAAAAGTAAAGAAAAAGTAATAGTATAGCAGAAATAGTATACGCTAACTAAGTGATTCTCAAACTTTTTAAATAATGTACCCACTTAGAAAAAAAACTCAGGCTGGTTAATCGTCTTAAATCAAGTCAAAGTCAACTTTATCGTCAATCTTTCAGTTTGTGTACAGACAGAGAGATCGAAATACCGTTTCTCACAATTCTCTCTCTTCTTGTCTTGATCCATATAAAAACCTGTCTGAAAATGAGCTGATCAGATTTTGGCCACTTTATGATGTCATAACGATGTTTTGTCTTGTGTAACCATTAGCCAATCACCAACCAAGGTAACCTCCCCCCCCCCCTTATCACCTAAATCTCCTCCTAGAGCACCATTGAGTTCTTTGTAACCAAATCTCTCTCAGAGGGGCGTGTTGTAACTTGTTTTATTTAAGGCAGTAAAACATTTGTTTATTTGATTCTTGATAGAAGTTAAAAGGCACAAAGTTTCACAGGAAATGCTTTTATTTTGAAGTGCAAGTATGTGTCCTCCTCTGACACCTTCCTGTTGTCATGAAAATTGAATACGAGCATATCGAGTGCATTTTCCCTGTCTTCCACCGTTCTTGTTGGAAACTGTTTAATGAATATAAAGTAAAAGTTCAGTTTGGATAAGATTTCGCTTGGTTCTTCATTCGAAGCTTCTATTACACAACAGGGCGTGGGGAGGGGCTGCTTATTTTCATCTGAAATAACAGACAGAGAATCAGCCCTTTTGAAACAGGGCTGAAACAGAGGGGATTATGGGTAATGCTGCAATGATCTGTTTGGTGTTTCAGCCAATCAGAGACAGGTTCTGTATATATCTGAGACCTGTGATATATTGATGAAAAAGAGTATAATAGGGGACCTTTAAACATCTGATAATAAGTATTTTTCCATCTCTATCAGATGACTCTGTGTATGAGTCTCCGGAGCCCTTCCTGACGGACGACACCACCGGTGGATGCAGCCTCGTTCTGCCCGGTAACTCCCTGCTGCCCGCCATGTTGCTCCTCCTCCTCTTCATCTCCTCATAGCACCTCCTGCTCTGCTCCTCTTCCTCCTGCTGTTGGACTGCTCTCCGTCCTCCCTGAGACAGGAAACTAATACAGCAAGGCCCTCCTCTCCCTGACCTCCGACCTTCACCTGAATGCCACTCAGCAGCTCAGCCAATCAGAGGAGGCCAAGGTCACTGGGGGGAGGAGCCAGGAGACGCTCTGTGATGGATGTTTCTGCTCCGACAAAGTCCAGACTCCATTGACCCCCATGTTAACACTGATGCATACAATATATATATATATACAAACACATATATTAAGGCAATGACTAAACATTATTTTCCGCATTAATTGTTTATAAAATGCCTGAATAATTGTAAAAAAGGCAACATCTTAAAAAGTCCCAAAACACAATATTAGAAACACAGATTTGTGCCAAATATTTGCCTGGAATCAGAATACTTTATTTATCCCGCTGGGGGAAATTAGGTAAACATGACGGTCAGTGGAGTCCAGTTTCAGTCCAAGGAGAAGTGAAACACATCAAGGCTGTTTATAATCTTTGGATTTTCATCACAGCTTCAATAAAAGACGGATCATCAGCAGCATAAAGAAACTCTAAGACGTCAGCTTCAGTCGGAGCAGCGTTCACCGGCAGCTCTCGGTTCTGCTGCAGCCTACATCCGTTTTATCTCTTTGCACTGATGACTACAGTCACAGAAACCAGCCACAACACAGCAGGTCATGTAGCAAAAGTTAACATGGAACCTTTAACCCTTCATAAAGGGTGAAACTAACTTGTTGGGATGTCATTGGTGACATTTTCAAACTTACATATTTATCTCACAATTGCTGGTAGAACACATCCCACAGAGTTTGAGATCTGACTAACGGAAAACAAAATATTTTTACTTTACAGAACTTATTGTCACGCTAATGTAGCTTCAGACCAATGGGTCAAGCTTTTGTAGCTTCATAGACAAGGGGAAGAGCTAACGTAGTAGCCTATCACAGAGGGACAGCGGGTTTACGTAGCTTTTAAAGTAATGCGTTACAAGTGTAGCCGTACAGACCTGTGCTGCTATAGCTTTACAGACCAACAGGACAAGCTAACGTAGCTTCACAGAAATATGGGAGGAGTTAACATAGATTCACAGATATATAGGATGGGCTAAAGTAGCTTCACAGACGCACAGGACATGCTAACGTAGGTTCAGACATACAGGCTGAGCTAACTTAAGCTAAAAGACAAACAGGGGTATCTAATGTAACCTCACAGATATATGGGAAGAGCTAAAGGAAATTCACAGACACACTGGATGACCTAACTTAGCTTCACAGACATACAAGGATCAGCTAACATAGATTTACAGACATATAGGATAAGCTAATTTAGCTTTAAAGATGTAGGGGCATGCTAACGTAGATTCACAGACATACAGTGCAAGATAGTGTAAATTTACAGACATACAGGATGAGCTAAAGTATATTCTCAGACATACAGGATGAGCTAACTTAACTTCAAAGACATAGGGGCAAGCTAACGTAGATTCTCAGACATACTGTACAGGATTAACTAACTTAGCTTCACAGACATACTGGGCAACATAGCGTAGCCTCACAGACATACAGGTTAAGCTAAGGAATAAGCTAACAAGCTTAAGTAGCTTCAGAGAACCTGATGAGCTAACCAGTTTTAAAGACCTATGCTAACGTAGCTATGACAAGCTAACATATCTTCAAAGACTAACTTAATGTTACAAGACTTTGTATTCAAATATATAGGCTACATGCATAAATAATGTGTCTGATACATTTTCTGTTCATTTCGGACATTGTGGCTCATTTCTGTGACAGTAATCGCTTTCAGTGTTGAATACAAAAAACAAAAAAGACTGTTGTCGATCTTTTTCATCACGTCTCTTGGCCAACTTCAGCAGCAGACGGCCTTTTATTTCTGTAAATCTGCCAAAGACTATTGTTAAACTTTTCTATTAGCAGGTTAAGTCATAGTTGTCATTGTGGCCCCGCCCACTTCTGCCAAAAGGGGGTGGGGCTATATCAGGTGGAGGAGTCACATTCATTTTTTTTTCTAACTTGTGTCGTTTTGTGGTAAAAATAAATCGAATGTCAAGCGCAAAACTAAATTGAATCAATCAAAAATTGCCTTTTTCCCACTGGTGCTGAATTTTTTGTGACTCAATGACTTGGTTTCTGGGAAGCAGCAACACCGTGTGGACGAGAGGACGTTTTGTTTTTTTCTCTTCATCTCTCCATACCGTCGTTCCGTCTTCATTGATGGAGGAAGAGCGTGTCCTTGTGTTTGTGGACGAGCAGGGGCATGCTGGGAAATGCAGTATCTATATAAAACGAACGAACTGTGATGGATGACGGACAGAAGCAAAACTGACTTTGTTTCGTTCGTTTAGGTAGAAAAAAAGTGAAGTTTTTATTTTACATTTTTGTGCCATTTTTTTGTTTTTAAAAAACGCAGGACAAAATTCATATAAGATATGAATTTTATGAAGGAATCAGTCAGATGTTTGTTGTTGTTGTTGCTGTTGTTGTTGTTTTCCTCTTTGTTCCTGCTTGCATCACAATGCATTCTGGTCTTTGTAGTCCTGTGCTTTCTGGTTCTGTTGATGAACAAAGGTTTTTGGTGGGTTTTTTCCAGTTCATCGTCCTTTTCGTGTGGATGGAATCAGTTTTTTCGTGGCGTAAGAGATGTTTAAGAAACTGCAGGAAAGAAAAACTACAGAAAAAAGTTCAGAAGGTGGTTTTATGAGCGGGGGTGAGGCCTCCCTGTTGTCTGGTTTACAGCGTCTCTGAAAAGAAAATGTTTTTCTACATCAAAATGTCTGCATATTCTATTCTCTGAAAGACAAAAAAATCTGTTTTTGTATATTTTCTTATTGGATGCTTATAAAGTCATGTAAAAGAATGCATTTATCTGATTGGCTAAAGAGCTAACGAGGGGTCAGAGGTCATCGGGCCTCTTCAGGACATTTTCTTCTGCGCTGCATGAGCAGAAAAAATTAAAATACCTTTACTGAATTTACTTTGAAGATAATTTCAGAGAGAAAATGTTAAGAAGTGTATGAATCTGTGTTTGATAAATTCACCAATAAAACAATGTTCCACTAAAAATAAATGTTGTTCTTTGTCTCGTTTTTTCCTACAAGAGACAAAAAACACCTAATTTGTATTCACTGCCAGAATAATTGAACAAGATACTTAAAGGGGACCTATCATGCAAAATGCACTTTCTGATGTCTTTTATACATAAACATGTGTCCCCGGTGTGTCAGGGAACTCACGCAGCGTCAGAAAATAAACCCTCTCTCTTTTCCTCCGTACCCAAATCTCTAAAAACGGGGAACAACGGAGCTGATCCAGATTTGCGTCCGAAATGACGTAATATCAGAAATGTAGGCTGGCTTTACACCCACGGCCCAATCAGAAAGGCATGGGTAGAATGGGTGATCTGTTTGGTATATTGAGCAAAACACTACATAAACATGTTTTTTATATATTTGTATATATCTGAGACCTATGCTATTGCCTAAAAATAGCATGATAGGTGACCTTTAATTAAATCTTAACATTATGTTTTAGGAAATAGCTGTGGTGCTTCTAGAGCAGGGGTATTCAACTAAATTCAACGAGGTCCAGTTAGAGAAAATCTCCCCATGCAAAGGTCCGGAACATCAAAATGTCTAACTTGCTTCATGAATTAGTGTGATATATATTGAAGTGACCTGTAGCTTTATCAACGTCTGCATGTAATCAACAACTGACTGCCAATCAAATAAAGAAAGTACAATTCATAAAGAACAATATTTATTGTCAATTAACATTGAACTACAGATATACAGTAAATACTGTGGATATGTGTAATGTTCCTCTCGGGCTGCATTTACAAATAAAATAGAGAAAATAAATAAAATATCTTTTGAAAATATGTGCATCTTAAAAGTGCTTAATTTTAGATAAATAAAATAAATTGTAGCAGCAGCTTGAGTTTCCCTTTTTCTTTGTTAACCGTTTCACATCATGACTTAACAGTTTCAGCCGATTATAGAACAATATCAATCTTTGCACATCATAACAATTGAACAGTTTTAAAGTTTCTCTTTCTCTCCCTCTTATATTGCAGTCCCTCACTCACTTTGTTCTGTTCAGTGCGAGAATTGAGCTGGAGCTTGTCCTGCCAGGAGTTTAAATCTGGGCTGAAATGGTGTCAGGGCCATTCTCACTCACACATGCAGGTGCTCATTGGTTAGCCTCGGTTAGCCTGCCCTGGAACGATATTTAGTTTTAATTTTGATCCTGGTGGACTGATCATATCGGGCTCTGAGACTGCTTATTTTTTGTGACCTCAGTTCTGACTTGAGAGGGAATGTTTGGTCAAACACTTTGTGTTTTGTCTCATAGTGGCGTTTTGGCACTTTTAATGAGCGCCACGGTCTCTGAATAAATGAGACACACTGGTTCTGTGCTCCCAGAGGGCAGGATGAACATGAACGAGTCCACTCAGGGTTTAAAGCTCTGTTCTCACTGTCCACTTTCCTCTTCTTGGAGAGCACCATGTGTAATTATTTGTCTCTCCCTGTCTGCCGCTAACACGCCTGTTCACACTCCTCTCCGTCTTCTCTCCCTGTATCGTTAACTATTCTCTTCACTCACGTTCCTCTCTGCCGCGCTCTCGTCTCTTCTTCTGTGTTTCTCTCCCTGTATCGCTCACTCGTCTCTTCTTCTGTGTTTCTCTCCCTGTATCGCTCACTCCTCTCTTTCGCCCCCTGTCTGCGGCGGTTCAAATAGAATCGCCCCGTCAAAATTGAAATCCCCTATTAATGTATTGATTATAGGTCCGGGTCCGTATAGGTCGGCGTCTGGGTCCGGATCCGGACCGTGGTCCGCCTGTTGCCGACCCCTGTTCTAGAGTAATATGACTTGGGGGGACAGTGATTAATGCAGGAAGGAGATTTAAAAATGTTTAGTTTAGTATTATTACATGTCACCTGTTAGATGCTTTTATCCAAATTAACTTACTCAATGTGTGGCGTCCCCACAGGAGCAATTTGGGGTGAAGTGTATCGCCGAAGAACAAAGTCATAACGCATAAAAAATCATTAAAATACCATGGTATTTGATTTAGTAACAGAGTTTCTGTCAATGACTTTGTTACAATTGTATGTTATATGTTGTGTTACTTTGGCCCAAGATACAGAACATAGAAAGATGTTTGGATTAATAAATACATAGTTATGCAGCCAAACTGAGTTGTTATCTTATTTCTTCATATTTGTTTCAGTAACTTTAAAAAAATCCCTGTTAACTTTGGCCCAGCACACTAGCTTAGTATTTTACATGAATTGCAATGGATTTATTATTTGGAGGGGGCCCACAGGGGGGTCCAAGCTTTGGGTCACAGGGGAATTGGCCCCTGTTGCCCCCCCCCTAGAACCACCCATGGGAAATACACAACAAGAGATGTACTCTGGAAGTCGGAAGAATAATGCATAAATAAATAAAACAGAAATAAATAATGGGGAAATGCAAAGTAAAAATTATACATAAGTATATTTAAAATGTTAAAAAAAATACAGTAAAAGTATTTGATCAGATATACATTTATGTAGAAATTAATAATAAATAATAAATATGTGGAATGTTACTTTAATTTATTTGGTACATGTAATGGCCTGTTCATTAATTTATTGAGTAATTTATTACGTTTGGCAGATTTAACTTATGATGTTTAAACTTTAGAGGGACACTGACACCTGCTGGTCTGCACCGATCACTACAACCTCACTGTCATTCGTACAAAAGTATCCAAGATGTAAATATCTTTATAATAATAATGTAAATCCAGAAGTGGGAGAAGTACTCAGATCTTGTACTTGAGTAAAAGTAGAAGTACTCAGATCTTGTACTTGAGTAAAAGTAGAAGTACTCAGATCATGTACTTGAGTAAAAGTAGAAGTATTCAGATCATGTACTTGAGTAAAAGTAGAAGTACTCAGATCTTGTACTTGAGTAAAAGTAGAAGTACTCAGATCATGTACTTGAGTAAAAGTAGAAGTACTAAGATCTTGTACTTGAGTCGAAGTAGAAGTACTCAGATCTTGTACTTGATTAAAAGTAGAAGTACTCAGATCATGTACTTGAGTAAAAGAAGAAGTACCAGAGTGTAGGAATACTCTGTTACAGTAAAAGTCCTGCAATAAAAATGTTCCTCAAGTGAAAGTAGAAAAGTATTATCGTCAAAATATAGTGAAAGTAGCGACAGTAAAAGTAGTAGTTGTGCAGATTGGTCCATTTCAGAATAATATATATGATATGTTTTATAATGATTGATCATGAAAGTGTTCTCAAAGCTGGTGAAGGTGCAGCTAGTTTGAATGACTTTGTATACTGCAGGGTAGCTGGTGGATTTACTCCAGGTGGAACTAAAGTCTGATTTAACACTTGATTATATTTCACATCATTCCTCCAGATCTGTAAAGTAACTAAAGGTATTAAATACATGGCGTGCAGTAAAAGTACAAAGTACTAACAAATTGAAATACTCTAGTAAAGTACAAGTATCTCAAAATAGTACTTAAGTAGTACTTGAGGAAATCTACTTAGTTACTTCTCACCTCTGTTTATAACCATATATAAACAACTCTCTTACCATGGAAACAGTCTCTAGATCTCAATCTCCATCCAACTATGATCAATACATCATTTAATTTATGGATTAACTGAAAACAAACGTCCAAATATGTTGCCAGCATTTTCAAGTTGAGACTTTTTCTTCCATTTGAAGCCATTTTAAACTCATGTGGTGTTGCCCCAGGGCTTGACAATATAAAGAAAAGAAAAGTGCAGTATTGTGTGGATGAGCAGTGTGTCCTGAAGCCAGCAGGGGGAGCCTCCTCAACACAGATCATCTGTTACTGAGCCCCCTCTTTGATCATCAACATCCTCACAGGGAAATACTTCTGACATTTTAACCATTGTTTAGGACACAGGCTCAAGGGGAACAAAGTACAACTTACTACAACGTACAAAAAAAGTAGAAAGGACAATAAATGACCACAAACGATATATTATGACTTTTTTCATACTTACTATACTATTACCTTTTCTATATTTTTCAAAATACTACACTTTCATTATATTTTCAAACCATTATAGCCTACTATTAATTTTAACAGAGACTTCTTTCATGATATTTTCGACATTATTTTATGACTTTTTATCATATTTTTCGACATATTACACTATAATTTATTTTACATATTATCTTGTGTTTTTGTCATGTTACATACTATGATTTTTTCAACATATTGTACTCTGACTTTTCCTATTTTTCATCATAAAATAATGAGTCTTTCTCAAAATTCGACATAGTTTATACTTGTAACCACTAATCTGAATTTGTAAAATATAAATATTTGCCTTTGAAATGTATTAATTGAAGTACAAAGTATTAGACAATGAAAAGGATCAATGTCATTGTAAAAAGCACCCCTATAGGTCACTTTTTGCACTTGTTGGCCATCGTATTGGCTGTTTTGAGAAAAAAAGATGAATAATTTTAAAAAAGCTGTGCAATTTTTGCAGATATCTATTAAATGTTGTTCAAGTTAAGTGTTCAAATAGGTTTGTTGGCACAGATACACAAAATGACTTATATAGAAAATCTTCTAATTAAAAAACCCTCAAAGCATTCACAATTTTAATATGTATTTGTAGTAGCTGAGACGTTCACTTTTCATTTGCTGCTGGTGGTGGGAATATTCTAACATGAGTTGTCTCAGATAAATACAGCAGATAGTGAAAAAGGGGTGTGTTTGTTGGGGCGACAACCAGCCAGAGCTCCGGGTCGTGACGGAGTGGGAGACGCCGGAAAACACGACTCGTCTAGCGGGAGTGGGGGTGGGGAGATGCGGCCCCTCTGGCTCCTGCGGGTCCCTGGGGTGCTGCTTCCTGGGACCCTCGGGTTAATGGGACTGTCTACAATGAATGGCATCTCTATGGAAACGACGTATCACGACACGCAGAGAAGCACGCGGGACACTGAGTATAAAACAGATGAGGAGGAGACGAGAGGAGACAGAAGGAACCTGAAGCTCCAGAGAGACACCGGACAACCGACTGACTGCTGCCCCGGAAACACAGCGCCAAACCCGGATCAACCAGCTGAGACCTCCGCTGATGAGACGAGACTTCCACACCTCCAACAGGTGAGACAGAAAATACTTGTTTTTAACGTGAATTGTTTGTTTGTTTGTTATGCCTGTTTTAAAAACTAGGTTGCTTATTATTTGACTAAGGTTGTGGTATGTATATCTTTATATATGTTTAGTTTACACTGAAAACTTGTATTACTGTAGCCCACTCTGAACTCAGTATAATTACAACAACAAATTCGAATTGAATCAGGCAGTAGTAGGTTTGCTTTTGGTGTTTATAGCATGATAACCAATACACATTAATAACAAATACATACATAAAATGCATGCAAGTAGCCTACTGCAAAAGTTAAAAAAATCATAAATATAGAATAGAGACAATATACAAAAGTACAATCACATATGTAAAATATATAATGTAGTTTTGTGCAGGATGTACAAATGAATAGGAGGATGTACACGAGTTCACAGTAAAGACAATATGCATTGTGCTGGGATCCTTCATGTCGATTAAGACCATTAGGAAATATCAAATGAATACACTGAAGTTAGTCTCTGTAAAATACTCAACAAAACATGATTGTGTTAACCTGTCAGTACAGTTTTATTCTCTCTGACCTTTGACCTTTCTATGGAAGACAGGAAGCAGTCACTATATATGATTTGCTTTAAACAACATGACATCGATATCTTTGACAAACTCATGTGTTTTAAAGTGTGTTTCTAACTATAAAATCTATCTCTGTGTTTCTCTCAGCAGTGATCCAGATCAAAGCATCAAGATGAAACAAAGGACGACTTCATACAAGATCAGTCCCGGTGAGTTTACAGCCAGAACACATCGTATTAGATTTGATATCAAAGTTAATTTATCCATTGTACACTACTTAAAAAAAATAACAAAACAATAAGACCGATGGAAATACGACCACAAACATTGACCTTAAATAAATATATTGTAAAAATAAGGAATTGATATTTCAATGTCCGCAGAGTATACCTGAAAAGATGCGTAAATACATTCATCTGTGTGACGGAGCGGGTCACAGAGTGACTGACTCCGCCACTGACAGCCGACACACACATACACACCACACACACACCAAACATTTCCTGCTCTCTTCCGTCAAATGAACCATGCAATTTCTTATTTATTTTACTTTAGTTAATTATGGGGAATGATTGTGTTAAGAGGTGGTTAACCTGTTTATGTTTGGGTCGGATTTTTATGTTGAAATGTGGTTTTGAGTTGATTGTGTCACCTGTTGACGGTGAGCCTGTGGGAGGGGCCACGGGTTCAAAAGGGACGGTGTTGGTTCCTTGTTGTGGGGGGACTGTGTCACTCTGAAGAATGTTGCAGTGAAGGCAACAGCTGGGACGTGTTCGGGGGTTTGTGGCAGAGAAGGCAGAACACGTTTACTCTGAATGAGTGATGGACGGCCTGTTTTTGTCTTTTATTTTGTTTGTTTAAGGTATGCTGTTTCGTATATTTTTTGTTGCTGCTGTTATTAAAGTTTTTTTGGAGCTTAAACAACCGACTAAGCCATGTATCGAATGGACGAATTGAACCCCGTCACAATCTGGAAAACACATTAAAATAAGACAACACACACTAAAACCTACTAATAATTGTAATCATCACAGAAAGCAGAATTGATTGAACATTGTAGTTTTGTTGTTATTGATCGTGCATCATGCAAGGGACAATATGATCGTATGATAATGATCAAAATCTAAAAATGGTTCCTGTTCAGACCTCTTGCCTCCAGCTGACCCCTCTCCTCTCTCCCCCTCAGACTCTCTCCCCCGTCAGGTGAGCACCAACAGTCGGGAGCGTTGGCGTCAGCAGAACGTTAACGGAGCGTTCAGCGACCTGCGGAGCCTCATCCCGACGCACCCCCCCGACAGGAAGCTCAGCAAGAACGAGATCCTGCGCCTCGCCCTGCGCTACATCGGCTTCCTGGAGCAGGTGGTGACGGAGCAGGACGGCGTCACCGTGGCAACCAGGGGCCGCTCGGGCAGCGTGGATCAGGAGGAAGACGAGGAGGAGGAAGAAGGGTCGTCTCCGAACTCCAGCTGTGGAGACGGTCTGATGGACGAGCAGGACTGTGGAGGACTTCTGCAGTTCCTCCAGCCGTGGATGGAGTAATGAAGGGTCTTAATGGGCCGGGGGCTGAAAGTGTCTGGGGCCCCCGCTGCAAAATGACACTCAAAGAAACGTGTGATCGAGGAAGAGACTTGAAATGACTACAAAGAGACAGAACATCTCTACAAAGAACTGCATACAGCTGCAAACAGACAGAATGACCACAAAGAGTACGAGTGTGACTGAAAACTGCTGCAAAACCTTTGAAAGTGGATGCAGCAGAACTACAAGTGAATGCAACATGACTGAAAACTATTGCAAAACGACTAACAAGAGACACAACATGACTACAAGGTTATGAGACATGACTACAAATAGATGAAGAATGACTAAAGGGATGCTAAATGATTCAAACTAGAATTAACTCAAAATATAATATTTGTGATAATTTGAGTGTGTCGTGCTCCTATGTGGGAGAGGGGGCGGGGGGGGGGGCACTCTCGCCCATGGACCTGGAGAGGTGAAACAAAGAGGATGAAGTATTCATTAAAACAGTGGAGCAGTCCTTTAGAAACACATTGTTGTATCGGACTGAGAGTGCGTGTGATATTCACATAGTGGAGTATTCATTCATTAGATTGTGTTCTGTTATAACGAGATGCTGTGATGTGTGTTATTTCTGTCAGAGAAGAAGAAGCAGAATAATCAGTAACCAGATTGAGTTTCTTTTATTGTGAAGGAACTGTTGGTGCTTTTATTGTTTTAACACTTTTGTAAAATATGTTATGTGTGCTGTTTGTTCATCTGCGATGCAAAATGTTTCTGTGAGGTTACAGATCAATAAATATTTATAAAAAACGACACTTTCAGTGATTTATTTGAATATGTTATACCTGTTGATGTATAATAATGCATTTATTCGCTTAGTTTATTTAAAAAATACATTGAGGTAAATACCATATTTACAAGCAGGGTTCAAAAACAAAATGCTGGACACCAAGAAACACGAGTAGAAACTTAGAGGTGTAAAGTAACTAAGTACATTTACTCAAGTACTGTACTTAAGTACAATATTGAGGTACTTTACTTGAGTATATCATTTGTATACTTCTTTGTACTTCTACTCCCTACAAGTCAGAGGTAAATCATGTACTTTCCCTCCACTACATGTATTTAATCCCTTTAGTTACTTTACAGATCTGGAGGAATGATGTGAAATATAATCAAGTGTTAAATCAGACTTTAGTTCCACCTGGAGTAAATCCACCAGCTACCCTGCAGTATACAAAGCCATTCAGACTAGCTGCACCTTCACCAGCTTTGAGAACACTTTCATGATCAATCATTATAAAACATATCATATATATTATTCTGAAATGGACCAATCTGCACAACGACTACTTTCACTGTCGCTACTTTCACTATATTTTGATGAGAATACTTTCCTACTTTTACTTGAGGAACATTTTGAATGCAGGACTTTTACTGTAACAGAGTATTCCTACACTCTGGTACTTCTACTTTTACTCAAGTACAAGCTCTAAGTACTCCTTCCACCTCTGGGTTAGTGTTAAATATTTGAAAATGCAGATTTTAGCCTCTGAAAAATAGAGATGTTCTGCTTTTCCATGTTTGTATCAAATGAAATTAGATATTTTGGATTTTGGACTGACATCAAAATATTTCAAGACGTATCCTTTTATAGACTACCCCATTAATCAATAAACTAATCATCCTATTAATTGAGGGTTATTTTTCCCACAGTCAGTCTGCCAGGAGGGGGCGGGGCCTGTCGCTGTAACAAGCCAATGATGAGTGGGCGTGGAGCCGACGACTGATAAACATCTGAGCCAATCAGACAGTAACAGGTCCCAGAGGAGAGAGGGGGCGTGTTTCAATTAGTGTGTGTGTGTGTGTGTGTGTGTGTGTGTGTGTGTGTGTGTGATGATGCTTCAGACTCAGTTCCCACCTCTGTCTCTTTCTACAGCGTGTCATTGTCTCCCTTTATCTGATCTGTTGTGTCAGCAGAGGTGAAAGGTAACTAAACACATTCACTTGAGTATTTTCAATGTATTCTACCTTATACTTCAACTCCTCTACATCTCAGAGGTAATTACGGTCAATTGTATTACCACAGATGAGGTTATTATAGTGGCCGACAGGTGCAAACACAAAGGCCTAAAATACTTCCTTTAGAGAAACACGCTGCAGCCCCAAATACCAAAAAAACACAGAAACCAGGGGACACTAAAAGGTGACGCACACAGCTTGGACCGGAGCACTTGTTGATTTGAAATGACTAGGTTAGCTACATCAGCTAGCTAGCTTGCAGCAGATACAAATATTATCTGAAAGAAGTGATCACATTTCAAATAAGCCGATAAAACCTACATTTTAGCTATACTCTCCAACAACAGAGACATTTGGCCAACTTTATAATCCCAGAACGCCAACACGCGCTCCGTTCCCAGCTGTGTGCGTCACCTTTTAGTGTCCCCGTTTACGTTGTGTTTTGAGTTTATTTTAGCATTTCATTTATTTGCACTTTAAGTCAACGCTGCGCATGTTTCGTCAGGTTGGTGAATGTTTTCTGAATGCTGTGCACGTGTTGTCAAGTTGGTGCAGATGTTTCTTCATTTGCATGTCTTCTGGCACATTTGTTATTTTTATATTTGGCATTGTTTCTGAAGCTGCAGCGCATTTCTCCTGATGGAAATGTTTTGGTTCGTTGGCCACCCTACCAGGTGGTCTCTTATAAAGTGTCACTAACACTCCCATTTTTGAAATTGGCCATCATTTTCATCGCTACACTTCTGTAAAGCTTCATGACTGTCTTGCATGATTGTAATTTTATCGAGGTGACACAATCTGTGCACTGACTCTATGTAGGCTACCATAGTAGGCTACTCAAAAAAGTACCTCAAAGGTCCAGTAGATGTTTCCAGGAGATTTAGGGTTACACTGATAGAATAGTTTGCTGATACAAACTTTTACCTAACTAAGGATTTAAAAGAAAGATAAAAACTATTTTCTATGTGTGCTTTCAGTAAATGTACTGCAGTAAAGGCCCTGAATACTTCTCTTCTCTGTCTGTTGTCACTTAGCAGAAAAGATGCTCCGATCAGATAAACAGACACAATAAAACACTGCAGAACTAGACAGAGGTGGGAACTGAGACTGAAGCACCATCACACACACACACACACACACACACACACACACACACACACACACACACACACACACTAATTGAAACACGCCCCCTCTCTCCTCTGGGACCTGTTACTGTCTGATTGGCTCAGATGTTTATCAGTCGTGGCTCCACGCCCACTCATCATTGGCTTGTTACAGTGACAGGCCCCGCCCCCTTCTGGCAGACTGAACTGTGGGAAAACATCACCTGCTGACTCTCACAGGAGGATCAACAAACAATCTTAATAATGCACAATAAATGAAGTGTGTACTTTATCCCCTGAATACTGTAGGATTACATTTAACCTGCACTTTTGTACACTTTGTAGGTACTTGTACTTCACTGGAGTATTTGAACGCTCTGCTAATTCTCCTCGATTTAAATCTCAGGGGAAATTATTACTTTTTACATCACTACATTAATCTGACAGGTTTAATTGATTAACAAACATGATATACATATGGGGTGGCTGTGGCTCAGTGTGCTGGACTTCGGATCTGAGGATAGCAAGTTCGAGTCCCACTGCAGTCAGCATGTCGTGTCCCTGGGTAAAACACTTCACCCCAAATTGCATGAGGATTGTCCACAGTTAGTCACTTTGGATAAAAGCGTCTAACAAATGACATGTAATGTAACATATTATTACATATTTGACTACCCCCAGTATCAAGTAAAATATATATGAAACATTGCATCAATTATTTGTTATCAATTAATACAACAACTAATTCGACATGCTTTTACATTTGGTACTTCAAGTACTCATTATCAGTAATCTGCCCCTGAAGCAACATGCCGTTTTGAAGCATTTTACAGTGAAATAGCGCCATCTGTTGGTCAAATCTGCTAGTGAAAAAATAAATAATGAATATTTGAGTTATAGCATAATTACTGACTAGTTATGACCCCCCAAAAAGATTAAAACAGTAACAAAACAAATATTTGGAAGTATTTAAAGCCTCAGTTTTTTAACATGATAAAAATCTCTGTCCATAAAATATTATATATTATTTAAATACTGTAACTTCAGTCCTTATCCCATTTCAAACATACAAGCACTAAAAGTACAATTAAAATATAAACATTCTCTATTTTTAACAGAAGTAAATAACTAGGCTTGACTTGCTAATCATACAATAAAACAGTTTCTTATTCAAGTCTTTCTCATTTGATGAATACCTCAACGTAAATCAAGACAAAGACAACATGTTAGAAACTTTTATAAATTAGATAAAAGCTTCTAAAAGTCGAGTCGTTGCTTCGTCAAGCTGCGTTCAGAAAGAAACAAACACAAACAATCCTGACACGTTTTTCTGCCTCTTTGACAAAATATAGAGATAAAAACCTCCTCTCCTTCTTCTTATATACAGTATATGGTTCTTACTCCTCTTCATCCTCAATATTTAACAATACCTGGTCCAGGAAGAGACCAGATTTCAGGTATTAACAGGAACTCGTTCATCTGTCTTTAGTAGATTGGATTTGTTGTAACCCTCCTATTGTCCTCGTTTTCCCCCTTACTTTGGTGTTCGCGGTCAAATCTGACCGGTCCTGTTTTAACTGCTATTACATTAACACAAAAACCATTAATCATCACCAAATTTCATTTAACACCCTTTCAAACTGTAAGTATTGTATCAGACTACTGGTATACATGAAGAACTGCAGTAAATATACAAAGAACAGACACTGAACAAGTATTGCGTGTGCCAGGTGTGATCCATGTGGGGGAGGGGCACATAAGAGCGGGAAATGTGTCAAATTGTTCTGTTAGTTGGTTAGCCTAATTGTGTTGTTGTTTTGTGAGTCCTGTAGTCGTTTATGTGTCTTTGTGGTCATTTTGTGTCTCTGCAGTTTTTTAAATAATAATTCTGGGCCTATTTGTGGTAATTGTTATATCTTTGTTTTCACTTTCAGGAAACACAACAGGACAGAGATTATTTTTGCCTTTTCTATTTTCGGGGTAATCCTGGGTGGGGATTTAGTCCCTGTTGGGGGCAGGCGGTTCAGGGTTTCGGCCGCTGATGTTTGCCTTTAAAGTCGCCTCGAGCCCGGCACGCTCCAGAAGATAGTTAGGTGAGTTTGTGGTAGGCAGGATCTGGGGAAGTTTGTTATTTGAAAGAGTCGATGTTAGCCTCACAGATATTTTGCCTGTTGTTGAGTGAGGTGATTTAACTGTGGCCTCCCTTGTGTGGAGTGAGTCCTCTCATACTGGTTCTAAATTAGATGCCAGGTTGAAAGTGAGGTTAGCTCGTCTACAGTGGGAGAAGGAGGAGTGTGAGCGAGATTTTCAGCTCAGGAGGGGAGATCAGAAAGTTATGCAGACACAGCTTTCAGGATGCGTCAGCTAGAGCTGCAGACAGGTTCAGTTGATACCTCTTCGGGTACACAACCATTGTCAGGTTCTGCTGCGGCTTTTGATGTTGGTAGGAACATTCAGCTGGTCCCTGTCTTTCGTGAGTCAGAAGTGGAGACCTTCTTTGGTGCATTTGAGCGCATTGCTGCTGCTCTGCGCTGGCCAGAAGATGTGTGGGCCATACTTGTACAGTGCAAGCTAGTCGGCAAGGCTCAGGAGGCTTGCTCTTCTCTTTCTGTCGAGGATTGTATGGTGTATGACAAAGTGAAAGGTGCTCTTCTCAGGGCATATGAGCTTGTGCCTGAGGCC